GCAATATATTCTGTGGATATGAAGATGTACTATATGTTCAGAACAATTCACACACTGTACTCTATCTTGTCGATTCTATAGGAAATGACATAAGAAAGACTTTATTTCGAGTCGCCAAACACTAAAAATCATTTTCACAGATGTCTCCTTTTGCAGAAAAGAGTTAATTTGCAAAATTTGGTCGATATCAGAACATTACGATTTTCCGAAGTTTCACTTAGTCGATGTGACGTTAAACATTTATGAAGAAGAAGAAGAAAGTAACAACAGTTAAAAATTATGTTTAATCGGCATTTTATCTGTAACAACTTAAAATTTGTATAACATTTTATGCGATTTTATTATGCTTCAGATGTGTATAGGCAAGCTATTTTTAATCAAATTAGTGTTCATAAAAAAATATTGCAGAAATTTTATTTTATTATTTTTAGGATAATTCTGAACTATGGATATTTATGCAAATATGAATTGCCATACATTTGTCACATCTTATTTGCTTTGTGTGCACTATACATACTGTAAATATGAGAAATGCATAAATACCCGCAGTTTGAATATTAAACGATAGCGTTACTCAAATATTTAATACAGCATGTAGATTGCAGTGTTATTTCTTATCATTACTTTCTGCATAATAAGTAGAAAAGAGCTATGTTGCTTTCACACAGGTTTCTCAAAAAAATATTTAGCTATATGTAGAAATTACTTTAGAAATTAGAGAAGTTTGTATTCACCCTTAACAGTGATTGGAATTGAATGAATTAATACTTATTATCGTTAGGAAATGAAATTAAAAAAAATTAAGTATTCAATCATATTAATATTGGTCTATAGGCAATTGTCTATATACTAACTATAAGTATTAATTAATTTATTGTTTAAATTTCTATAACTCAAACTATTAGTTTTTTTGTTCAACTTCTCAATTTTTGGAAATTTAACAAAACTAATTACTATAAATTTTAACCATCAATTATTCCAAAAACGTTATTTTCTCGCAGTCAAATTGTTTGAAGTTCGAAAAATTAAATTTACAATTGAACTTTTAGATGTTTAGAGATAAATTCTATATTACAATAATTCAAGATAAATGTAGGTAGTTCTAGATATATTGAACTGTATGTAAAATATATTTTCCAAAGAATTTTTACCTTTCCGAATATCCGGGCTGGGTATTAAATTTCTTCCGCCCCCAAAACCGTGGATAACGATCTTTGTAGGATGGGATCTGTTGAATCTCGAGTACTGAAGGGAGTCGAACCTTCGAACGTCTAAGCGTAATGGTTTCTTTTGCGTGTCTCTGAAAAATCATTAAACACGAACATACCATCAAAAAAGCGTCCATCATTCCAGTATTACAAAATCTTTGTTATTAAACAAAAAGAAAAATATTCCCTCCTAAAAACAGGAGCACAAAATAACCATAATATAAATCTGAAAATTAAATTAAATTTGTCTTTAGAATCTTAAGAAATGTAAAACTTAATTTAAAGTTATCTATGTAACTCTAAAATCTTTTTTACTATATTATTAAACCAATTATAAATGTGAAATCTATGTGAATAAATAGTTTTTTACAAACAAAAAATTTATGTTTAAATATTGCATTGAAGTAGGTAATGTATTGTATTAAATTTCTTATGTGATTTATTTGTTAATTAAATGTTAAACGTGATGTATTTATACATTAAATTGCAAGCAGAAGGTTTATATTTATATTGATGTTGATTATATTGATATTTACATTGATGCTGATATTCATATTGATATTTATATTTGTACTGATATATTGATATTTAAATTCACAATTGAAATTTATATTTATGCTTATATATTGATATTGATTATACTGATATTTACATTGATGTTCATATTCATATTAATATTTATTTTTATGCTAATATATTAATATTGATTATATTGATATTTACATTGATGTTGATATTCGTATTGGTATTTATATTTGTATTGATATATTAATATTTAAATTCATGTTGATATTCATATTAATATTAATATTTATATTTATACTGATATATTAATATTTACATTGAGGTTCATATTCATATTGATATTTATATTTATACTGATATATTGATATTTACATTGATGTTGATATTCATATTGAAATTTATATTTATGCTTATATATTAATATTGATTATATTAATATTTACATTGATGCTGATATTCATATTGATATTTATTTTGACAATTACAATTGCATTAATTGTGAAGCTAGTATGCACATCCGAAAGAATGCAAAAAATGTACCTACTGCGACCTTGAACTTACAGAAATTTAACCTTGAATTAACCTTGCAGTCATTGCAGTTACATAACCAACATTTTCTATTCGATATCTCCATCCTCCAAAAACAAGAAGCATCTGAACCTCTCAAAATAATTATACAAATAATATCGAGGAATTTAACAAACAATATCTAACGAACATTAAAAGAAAACGAAAGGTGCCGAGAAAGAATGATTGATGACAGAAGAAAGGGAAAGTATTAAATCTGCAAATGGGAAGATTGGAATCAACCTCGCGTCGCATATAACGTGTAAACGTTTTACAGAAAGCAAGAACCAGCCGGATGAAGAATGGGTAGGCGAGCGAGTAAAAGTATCCGAGACGTGCCAAAGCACCTATAGCTATCGGAGAAAGGTGAGCCTTGAAACGAGGCCACTTTCAGTACCATACAAAATAATCGTGATCTTGAAATCGAGAGTCTTACGTCGAAGTTCTTCCTTGCTGCTCGAGGTGAACCTTCTCGAACGTCGAAGGAAAGCAGAGAACCATGGACGAGATTATGCTGACGCAAAAGTAAACGGGAAATTTCTTCGAAAGTCAGAAAAAGTTACTTTCCTATTACCAGCGAGCGAATGAATGTCGCTGCTATTAGATAATTTTATATTTTTTTATTGTATCGGTATTGAGGTATTTTAACTCGAATGAAAGATTCCTATGGACAAGATGGTGTTTATGTATTACTTTGTGACATGAGTATTTTTATTAATATTAGATATTTTTTTGGTACTTTCCTATTACCAGCGATCGAATGAATGTCGCTGCTATTAGATAATTTTATATTTTTTTATTGTATCGGTATTGAGGTATTTTAACTCGAATGAAAGATTCCTATGGACAAGATGGTGTTTATGTATTACTTCTGAAATGAATTTTCTTATTAATATTAGATATTTGTTGTTACTTTCAATATTTTTATTATTGCGAATATGTAATGGTATTAGGTACGATAGGTTTTGATGGTAGTAAATAATTTGGTACTCTTTTAATAATTGCAATGAATTTTAATTTTATTAAATAAAGTACCGTGGGATTTTATAGATTCAAATAAATTTTAGTTCTGATAGACTGTTTCTTATTTTTGGACTATTTAAATTGTAATAAATTCTAGTTTTATCTGAATCAGTATTACTTTGTAATAATATCGAGTGAAATAAATTTTGATGTTAGTAGATAATTGGGTACATTTTATTGTGTTGATTCGAATGAATTTTAATAAAGCTAGACTTTAACGCAGTACCATTTTACTAAGTTTAATTGAATTTTAATTTTGATATACTGTTTAGCATTTTTGTATTATTTCAACCGAAATGAATTTTAATTTTGATATACTGTTTAGCATTTTTGTATTATGTTATTTCAACCGAAATGAATTTTAATTTTGATTAACATCAGTAATGTTATATTAAATCATATTAATTTGAATATTATTCAATTATATTTATAAGAAATTTTGTTATTCTAATTTATTCCTTGCATTCTACAAAAAATAAATTAGTCTTGTTTTCTTATATTAATCTAAATCCATATTTGAATAAAGAAATTACTATTATGCATATAACAATAATAATTTATTATTATTTAATAATTTATTGTTAGATTTTTGTAATAGATTAATAGTAAATTACTATTACATTAGACAATCATTTTATTTTATTTCAAGCTTAAGATTAATAAGAAAGTAATCTAATTCACCTCATCTGCATTTAAATATCCAACAGCTTAATGAAGTAATTACGGACAAGTTAATGTATTCAAATCGTATCAAGGTAATGAGAAAGTACTTTAAGAAGGTATTTTAAGCTGTGTTATGTGATATCGAATTTCAATATGACCGAGAACCTGAGACAAACTAAAAGCAGTAGCAATAGAAAATAGAAAGTTGTTTCCACATAAATGTCGAACCTCTCGTGCATCTATTTTTTATTACTTATTTACTCTTTAAATAACAAGCAGAGCGAGATAACTATCGTTACTACTGTGCTTTTTATTTCTATTTGATCAAATTATGTATATGTACTAATTGAAGGAAAACATGTATTTACTTTATCAAAAGTAATAAACTCAGTAATTGTACAGAGAATCAAAATCTTGAAATTTTTAAGCCAGTTTGTAAGTGCAAAAATTATCAATGGAAATTTTATGTCCTCTTTATTGACCGCCATATTTTATAATCATGTAGATCAAAATTGTGCCTTTTCTTGTTAGTATATCTTTTCATTGTTATCTTGTTATTATATTCTAATTGCACATTTCCTATTTACTTAAATTTTTCCTGTGTTCATATGTTTCTTCAAGCTTCATATGTTTCTTTTTAAAATTAACAACTTTAGAAATGTATACCTATTTAATAACCTATATTATTAAAACTTGTAATTATATCTGTTAAAAAATGCTTGAGAAATAATTCTTGAAATAATAAGTAAAGTATTAATCTCTTCAACGTTTTATTGTTTGAACGAATAAATGGCTTTACTTATCACATTCAGTTGAATGAAATAAATTGGTCACTAATAGGTTTACTTCAGATTTACTTTAGATTAAAGTTTACTTGGATGAATGATGGTTAATTGTCACGTACATTTATTATATGTAAAATTTATACTAGTTTGTGCAATGTATTTGTAACAGAGTGCAATAAAAATGAATACAAAAATTACCTTGTGTATAAATAAAATTCGATTTGTGGGTGCGGACACTTGTAGGGTGGTTTCGCACAGGATGTGCTGTTGAACAGATCCTTAAACGTCTTCGTTTCCGCACTCACATCGTCTGCAACATTAAAATCACATTAAACCGATTACCGCAATTACTCTATTGAGTTTATTTTCCACTGAACAATCCTTCTAATGAATTATTATGTCTAACTGACTGCTATCCAAAATCGTCATATCATGAATATAATTCGACGTTATATTATTGAGAAAAAATACTTATTCAAATTTTTAAGATATAAAGTTTGTTAAAATTGAAGCCAGATGGGCTGGGGTTGTTTTATACCCTAGTGTGACCGTTAAGGATTAACATAACTCAAAAACTACAAGTGTAAAAACCAAACGCTAAATAATACAAAAATTTAAATACCAGAATCTAATTAACAGAAAAACTTAAATATCCAAAACAAATTAACAAACAAATTTGAAAACGAAAAGCCAAGTACTAAAAAAAATTGAATTCTAGAAGCTAATTAACAAAAAAAATTCAAACCCAAAAGCTAACTAATAGAAAAATTAAAAATACCAGAATCTAACTAAAAGATAAACTTAAATATCAAAAACTAGTTAATAAACAAACTTGACAACCAAAAGCCAAGTACTAGAAAAACGTAAAAACCACAAATTAATTAAAAGCTTAAAAACCAAGAACTAATTACTAGAAAAAGTGACGTGTTAATTTGAGTATTACGGTGAAATCTACAGAAGCTGTTTTATAAACGCTAACTCTAAGAAGACAGTTAAAATTGATTGACCAGTGTCATTATAGCTTGTAGTGAAAACTACTGGACCGTTGTGAGAAGCTGTGAAATCGGGTGAAGGTCGTAAGACTCTTTATACAGTTTCGATCCAGTTTTTCTTACTCGTCTCTCAAGGATCAGATTCCTGCATTAACTAGATAAATAATATAGTAGTATTGCAAGAATTAGATCAAAGATGTGCATGATTCCGTTTCGAAAGCGACCTTTGATTCGTGTTACCTCCAAACACTTAACATTAAATGCTTATCGATTTGAATTGGAAATTATCAATCGGTATAGTGTTAGTAATTATAGTCTTTCTTACATTTTCTGTAGAAATCGAGAAAATTTTAATTATTATTCGTAAAAATTGCAAATATTTCTAATTGCAAGTTAGATGCAATTAGATAGCAAATTAAGTGATTAGAAGTGTAATATAGTAGACAGGTATTATTATTTAGTTATTTATTTATTCAATATTTAACGTATCAAGTATTCGTCATCTAGTTTGTTTATTAACAAGTCTTGTCTATTAATATTTTTATTTTCTGTCTGTCGATATTTTTATCTTTTGCAGAAATTATATCTTGTCAAAATGAAGTTAAATTAAATTTAGATTATTGTTAATATAATTCTTCGTATTTCAAGAATTTTGTTACTATTAACAAATGAAAATTCTATTAATTTTCTTTGAAAAATATAATACAAGCTGTGAACAGTGAAAATAACATACAATAAATTTTAATAAGCCAAATGAATAAATAAATATGAATATTTCAACGTGTCTTCATTTTTAACCCTTCCTAAAAATTTGAAGAACAAAATGCACTTTACTTGAAAATCATCCACCATGCACAAGATGACAATCACTATTTTAAAAATATAGCAAATATTTTTGCTTTTTATGCAGCACGATATTAATAAAAATTTTCACTTCTATATTATATTATATTTTTATATGTCAAATCTATAAACGTACTTCTTAAATGACAACCTACCATTAGAGAACATATATGTATAGTCATAGAAAGGATCAGCATTGCAAAATTCTAATTTTCGACACTATCCTTTTCCTTTTAACAAAATACAATTAATTCCAGAAACTTGAAATTTAATTATGAAACTTGCGTGTGAAATTTTTTATCAAACTATTATAATTCGTATCAAGTTACAAGGTGCACAAATAAATGATCTTCGTATAAGTCACCTTTACTTCTACTTACAGCGCCGCGCCGTATCAATTCCCTCAGTCAAAGGATTAGAAAATGGACTTTTATTAAATATATAAATAAACACGATATTCAGTAAACACGTGAGAACTCACTCGTAAAACGCACATAGAGCTTCTTTAACAGACCAGTCAGAGATCACTTGGACACAATTAGAATATTTTACAGAGGAACGGTGTAACAAGAAGTATAGAGATTCAACCCTTAACGCTCCAAGTGCCTCTCAAGCACCACTGTACAACATTACTCAATTATAATTAATACAAATATTATAACAAAAATTACTATTTAAACTTCTATATTATTATTTATTTTATTTAAATTTCTAAGGCGAATCAAGATTGTTTTGAACGACTTCAATATTATTATTTACAGGTGTAGCATTTACAATCTGACACTTAAAAACTTGCAAATCGTACGATGAAAATAAGTTGCCACTTCACAATTAAAAGTGCATTTAATAAACACGTACAAAGGTGAGAAGAGTAATGTAACAAGCAAGAAGTTACTTACGGTACTGCAGCAAAGCAAGGAGGACAAGAACAAGGTATCTCACGACACTGACCGCCATCTCCCGCACTCCCGTTGCTTGTGATATAACATTCAGCTAGGCGGTGGTGAAAAATCAGTAAAAGTGCTTCCCGCCGCTTCTCGTCAACGATTGTAACGTGTAAACTCATTCGGGGAATTCACAGAGGGGACTTTAGAAAGTAAGAAGTTGTGACCAACAGGAGTCTCCTCTGCTCTGATGCGTGGCGTGCACGCGTGTGTGCATTTGTGCCATCGGTGCGTTCACATGCGATAACATTTCTAAAATGACCGTTTAGGTACATTGTACTCAAGTTTCATGACTTTTGATTACCATGATTCAAGTCGATTCATTCATTTTACATTTTGATACGTTGATGTCATCCATGTGTGGGTGACACTTAAGCTGTTAAACTTAACATAAGTATTATTAATTTGTTCACTTTCCTCATAAATAGTTCTCGTATTGATTACATGGATCTGTGGAAAATAAATGTAATTATTGTAAAAATGTTTGGTAAAATTTATTAAAAATTAAAACTTGATGCAATTTTCAATGGTTTCAGTGTGGCAGTCAATATATTAAGCAATATATTAAGTCAATATTTAAGCAATACATTGTCTTATTAAGCAAGATATTTTGAGTAATACTCCTTGTTCTATGTGAAATTTTGATACAGTTTGAGCACTCAAGAGACTTTACATGAAGCAGTTTTAATTTTAAACTAAATAGTTAAACAAGAAGTTCATTTGACATGAGATAACGTTGATTTAACACGTTTAAATAATTAAGAAGGTTATTTTACACGAAAAGATTTTGATTTAACAGATTTAACACTTCTGCTACCTCACTCATAAGGGATGTTTAAAATATGTCTCCATATAAGAGACCAACGACATGTGTACCAACAGTGACAAATTTAAAATTGATATAAACCCTCTAATATCCAATATCATTGCACACATGAAATAAAAAAATAACAAAATGATATTAAATAACAAAAATTTTTTTTAAAAATAATTTCTACTGTTCTTTACATGCATCAAGTTAACTTTAATTTTTATTTCTGTTACTGTGAAATTTAATTTTTATTTCTGTTACCTCTGTGACTTGTACGTTCTGTAAAATTGAAATATAAACTTGTTTTAATAAAATTTTAATAAAATTGTGTGGTAAGTTATTTTCTTCAAATGTATGTTTATTTATGGAATTGACTGTGCCACTCATGGAGAGCTCCACTTGTGGAATTAATGTTCCAAATACTGAAAAAGATACGCAAGAAGGAAAAAGAAAACTTGCTCCACTTAGAAACACTGTACAATTACTGTTGCAGAATAGTTTGAACGGAAAACCTTTATACCTTTGTTGACTTTCAAAACAAAAGAAATAAAACTGGGTCACTTTTTGTGACAGATGCATGCAAATGTTGTCGGGACGAGTTAAAAAATGTGGAATTACTTGATTGATGAAGTGAATCATGAAAAATGGATTGATGGGGAACCTTCAATTAATAGGATGCAATCGTTATTCATTTATGTAGTAGCAGAAAATGTAGCTTCAGTGATAAATGAGATCGAAGATCACATGTGTCGTTTTCTTGTGAATATTCATGTTATTGCATGTATACAACATTTTTATGGTTAGGTTCTTACTTTCTTGAAAATGATGTAAATATTACAAAAATCAGTTACTATGTTTCTCATTTTTAATCATTTATATAAGTGAAGAGGTTTATTATATCTGATACTGTTTTTTTTAATGAAATACTCTACAATGTAATTACAAATTTCCAAATCTCTAGATTAGTAAGTTTTCAAGTTCTAAAATTTCTAAATTTTCAATTTTCTTAAATTCTGAAATTTCTAAACGTTAAAGATCGTAAATTCTTAATTTTCATACCCCTAAGCTTTTAAATGTCTAAATTCCCAAATTCCTTATCTGAAAGTCCCCAAATACCTCAATTTTATACTTCAAAATTTCTATATTTCTAAATTGCCAAATTTCCGAGTAACCAAATCTCCAAAACCCAAATTTTTCAATTTCCCAAATTTGTAAGTTACCAAATCTTTAAATTTCCATATATCTAAATTTCTAAATTCCCAATTTCCCAAATTCCTAAATTTCCACATCTCAAAATGCCAAAATTTCCAAATTTTTATATCTCTAAATTTCTAAATTCCCTATTCCCCAAATTCCTAAATTAGGAAATCTCAAAATTGTTATACCTCTAAATTTCTAAATTCCCAATTTCCCAAATTCCCAAATTCCTAAATTACCACATCTCAAAACCCTTAAATTTTCAAATTTGTATATCTCCAAATTTCTAAATTCCCTATTTCCCAGATTCCTAAATTAGGAAATCTCAAAATTGTTATACCTCTAAATTTCTAAATTCCCAATTTCCCAAATTCCTAAATTTCCACATCTCAAAATGCCAAAATTTCCAAATTTTTATATCCCCCAAATTCCTAAATTACCGCATCTCAAAATGCCAAAATTTCCAAATTTTTATATCTCTAAATTTCTAATTTTCCAAATTCCTAATTTACCAAATCTCAAA